TCTCTCTCTCTCTCTCTCTCTCTCTCTCTCTCTCTCTCTCTTTCTCTCTCTCTGTCTCTCTGTTTTTCTATTTCTCAATCTCTTTCCCTTTCGAAAGCAAGTACAACGAAAGGAAACAAAGTTCCAGGAGCTCATATTGATCCACGAAGCACCCGTCGACACACCGATAATGAATTCCAGCTGTTTGTTTGCCCACCCTCGTCCACCCGTTCGTGGTTTCTAGAGGGTTCAATCGAGTTATCTGTTCTACCCGTCATCTTTTCCGATCGGCAGTGTTAATGATTTCGGCTCGATATAATAATAGCACGACGCGAAGGGAAACGATATTAATCATGTGGAATTTTGGAACTTTCGTGGAATTTTTTCAACGTTTCGCGGCGATCAGGCTCGCAGGAGGACACGTTCACTCCACTACTATATTATTAAAAAGTTTTTCGGCAGGAAATAGACCTCTGGTCGTCTAGTTTTCTCATCTTCCCGTCATTCGGGGCTTCAAAACGACTTTGGCGTGACGGTCTGAAATCTTACCGAGTCACCTGTGAAGGTTTATAATGTCACGCGCACGAGAGTGTAACTCGAAGTATGACGAGATGGGGATGTTTTGAAGCTCTGCGCGTCGCGGCAAGGCCAGATTCCCATCAATCGCGCTGAAACTCTTCGCGGGGGACATCTTAATTGCAGATCAGGGCGTCCCGCCGCGTCTCTTATTACGTCAGGGAAACTTTTTCTCTCGACTTTCACGGTAATAGTCAAAATGCCCCGACGTTTTCATTCACGGAATGCAAATCTCAGAGGGGGATGGCGCGACGTCACGCGACGTCGACCATCATCCGCAAATTCTGGGGTATCCGACCGTGCGAGTGAACTGTGCGAAAGATAGCCGCGGTGTCGACACAGGGAGAAGGAACGCCCAGACACTCGTCCGAATTCCGTGGAGAAGGAGAGCCGGTACATTCGTAATGTATGGAATCCAGTTTGAATTTCACAAGACCGCTTTGCAGCCGCGCGGCAACCGTCGGAGCGTCTGCAAAGGGAGGGTGCGGCCATACGTGCGTACAAGGGTCGCACGTGCTGAGAGTCT